GCTTCTAGCCCAAGGAGGGCTTCAGAGAGCAGCACTTCCTGCCCGTCTGCCTGACTCCCTTGCCCTCCCGCAGCCCTGAGACTTGCCACCGCCACTCGCCCGGCCCAGAGGTGGGCCCCGCGGGCCACAGGGAGGGAGGGAGGGATCAAAGGACACCCCCTTGATGGAGGGCTTTTTTAAAAAAAAAAAACCGCCGGGGCGAAGCTTCGCCCAAGCGCATATCGGCAACTTGGGGAAAAAATGGCCGGCGAAAAGCGGAAGCCTCGGGCTTCCAAACGGAAGTGGCTGCGCAACGGAGGAGAGCGATCAGACGCCGGGGTGCACCGTTTTCAACCGTTGCACTCTGTTTACCACCACTTCGGACCTAGTGGCAGAGTGCAACGGTTTAAAAGGATTTACAACGGTTAGGGACGGGAGGCAGATGTTCGCTGTCTGAACGCCCGTAAGTACACCGGTTGGAACCGGCACCCTAACCGTTGTAAAGCCGTCTGAACGCACCCTAGGAGTAGTACACTAACCTCTTTTTCATTGGACTCCAGAACAGGCCAATACTATTAATGGCCCACTTGTTTCTTTTTGCTTGCTTGGGTCTTGTGCCTGCACTGCCCAGCAACATGACAGCCAAAGTGACTGGCAAGTAAAAACCCTCTACAAACCACAGATACAAGGAAAGAAAAAAACTTCTTATCTGAGCAGCTCCACTAGCCATAATCAGCGAAGGTTCTATATGCAAGCAACAATATTGTGGAAGCCAGGCCACAAAGCTAGAAGGAGTCTCTGTTGGTGTTGGGTTTTTTCCATCTGTTTCTATAGCTTGAATATAGTACTTAACCTTCCTCCAACCTAACGAGCTTTCCTCCAACAGAAGTGTCAATAAAGTTGCAGGAAGGCTCCAAATCAGAGCCAAAAGGAAAGGTGGGGTAGACATATTTTAAGAAATAAATAAATTTTGCCCAGTGGAGTGGAGGATGGGGGTATGAGCCATCCCACTGGCTATGTTTGGCTACCCCATGAACAACTTCACACATGCCAATGACGCAGGCCAAAGGTTGCAGGCCTTATCAATGTCATGTCTGGAAAAGCTCTTGCACACGACTATCCTCCTCTCCAGCATGTACTGCAAATAATCCTCACTCTAGAGACACAGACCTGATGGAACAGGCTCAGCTGTCAGTTGCTGCTTTTCTCGTAACTCCCATATCCGAACACTGCCATCTTCTGAACAGGATATTAATTGCCTGTCAAAATCAAAGAAAATTCTTACATTTACTGGAACATAGTAAACTTGGTAAAAATTAATCCAGCTCCTCCACAACTGCTTACAAATATTAAGAACTAAAATTCCCACTAAGGCTCTGCACCCGACATTTCCTCCACTTTCTCTCCACTTCTCTGTTGCCTTTTATATTTGGTTCTGGATTTGGTTTTGGATTTCCTCCTGCTTTCACCTCACGTGTTTGTCAGCTTTTGTTGTTGCTTCTGCATTCCTTTTCACCCATTCCGTTTTCAACTCACTGTATTCCCAGCTTTTCTGGATCCATTTTTGCCACGGACCTTTCTCTTGCTCCACTTCCAAGTCCAGGGTATTTCTGATGCAGACATTATTCTGCAGATACTACATCACCACCCAGTTCCCACCCGTTTCCATCCCTTTCCGTTCCCCCCCACCATGGCTTGCACGCTGTGCCTTCCTCCTTCCCAATCCACATTTTGAGATCGATGTAGCCAACTTAGAAGGTTAGGGGTGCACAAGTTCCACTCTTGCCCAGACTTTCCACCTTTTTTAAAAAAAAACAAGCCTGGTTAGTCTTGCATTATTAATTTTTCGCTAATCTTGAATTGCCATACAGAAAAAGGGCGTTGCACTGGCAACTCTCCCCCCACCCAGCATGCCAATAACTGCCTGTCCCGACCCTGTCCCCCTCGCCAGCCCCACCATGGGACTCTGGCTCTGCCTCTACCATGGCCCCCCAGCCTGCCACGCCCTAAGAAGCCCAGCGGTAAGCCGAAGGGCATGGCCTTCTTTGCCTCAGCTCCTTCCCTTCCCTTGCCTGCCACTCCAAGCCCTGCGTGCTTGGGTAGCCACTCAGCCACTTTCCTCCCCACTTCATCAATGGAAAAATGTAATTACTGAATGCAACAAAGGGGGGGGTATTGTGGAATGACATGACATGTTAAGAGTGAGAGAGATTGGGATGGGAAGCCTAAAGCTTTTTAAAAGGGTCTCCATTTCACGCCATTGTGAACAAAGAATGGGGAAGGGGATTATTGACAGCAGATAATTCCTTGGTCCTGGGCAATATGGAAAAATGGGCCTTTGTGGCTGCTTGAAAATTGCAGAAAAAGTCTTGTCAGTTTCAAGAGGGGGTTCCTTTTTTTTGAAGAAAACACAATAAATAAATCGGGGGGGGGGGAACGGTGCAGACTGCATCTGCACAAATCCAAAGTCAAACTTTAAGACTTGACTGCTCAGAATTTCTGGAGCTGAGTGTCAGTGCAGAAAAGGCCTAAGACTGCTTTTGGCAAGATACCTCTGGGAACTCCGAGTCCATTTAAACTTCTATGCAAGGTTCCATGTCATCCCCAGTTTTCTTTTAATGCCTGTGGCCACTGAGAGAGATCATTAATCAGTTTGGAGTGCAGCGCTATCAACATGAGGATGACAACAGCTCTATTTTTATTTTTAGTCAAATCAAAGAGCAGCAATGCAGTCTCTGTATGAACACCTGAGCATGGCTATGGGCTACGTGAGGGCCAATATTGAGGTTTAATCTGGACAATACAGAGATTATGATAATCTAAGAATATCAGTTTTGCCTGACCTAGAAATGGTTTCACTGATATTGAGGTATAAGGTGCATAGTCTAGAGTTTCTCACTTTGCTGTTGAATTCCTGGCCAGCAGTGCCTTTTACTAGGTTACGCTTGTGAACCAACTTCACCCACATTACTTCAACAAGGATATGGCTCAGTTACCCATGCATTGCTAATCTTATATACCAGCTCCTGCACTCCTCCAACAATGAGTTACATGGAACATACAACTTCTGCATGGCGGTGCCTCTTTGTGGTGGCACCCACTCTTTGGAACAAGTTTTCATCAGAAGCATGTCTGTCCACCTCTCTTTTGTGGTTTCGGTGGCTGATCAAAGTTGGCACTTCAGAAAAGTCTTGTGGTGCTGACTGAGGGTTTCTTGATTTTATGTTGATATTTTTAAGGATGTTTGGGGAATGGATTTAAATGTTTGGAGTTTTACTAATTATTGGTATGCGTACAAACCACTTTGAATACTGCTTGGGTGCAGATAACCAGTATAAAATGCAACATAAATACCCCAAAAAATGTAATTGATGCAATAGCATTATAGGCTAATCGTTTTTGTCTTACTAATGGGAAATTTATCATAATTCTATCAGCCTATTGAATTCTATTGAATGGTTTTCAAGCATATCACTCCATAAAACAAAAAAACTGATACAGTTCTAGAACATTCAAGTACATAATTTCAGAACTTCAAATGCCTACAGTTAAAATATATACAGAGTCACAGGGCTGCAAGCAAATGGCCACACACAGTGACTGTATATGTACTGGGGCCTTCCTGAGCCTTCTTCTACCCTCCCCTATGACATTCCTGAGCATTCTGGGCCATGGAGTCAGCAGGGGGAGAGGAAATCTGCGATCCCATGAGCAAACTACTTGCATCTTGACTGTGGTTCATAATCTCAACATGTCAAGGTACCAATAAAACACCACACCAAGATGAAATAATACAAGAGACTAACAGACAGACCAGCTAATTCTCAATGAAGTCATAGTCAATGCAAATGCTTAAATAAAATCATGTTAAGACCATTGTGACGACCTCTTCTCTGGGGAGGTCTAGTTTTACTTTAAAGTGTCCCTTTTAGTTTTATTTTTCTTTGGGTATCCGGCTGCCACCAGGAATTTTAATAAATTCCATTTCTCTTACTATAATATATATTTCTATCACTGGGTAGGTGTACCATGGGTCTTAGGCGTTCGTGGTACTATGTGGTCTGAGGAAGGATTCTTTACTTAGCTGGTAAACTTGAAGTAAATAGGATTTATTTAACGAAAGTATAAACACGAGGGTGAACAATGTAAACAGTACTGGGAATGATTTGAACAATGGCTTAGTGTCTCTCACAAGCTTCTCTCTACTGACAGGGATATTCCATAGGCAACTTTGTAACACTTTTCACTGTACTTGTTCCTAGACTCTCAGCTTGTAATTTTCTCCTACAACACAGACTTAAATGTCACTGTTTTCACACACAGTGCTGAGTCTCCTTCAACTCCGAGACAGCACTTAACTGACTTCTGCTTCTCACACAGAAATCACACCGAACTCTAACTCATAGCAACTGCTTTCACACAGCACTCTCTTCTGACTCTTTTTCCAACAGACATATCTCTCTAACAGACACCCTTCAACTGCCACTCTTGACTGACATATCGGTTCATCCACACAGCATCCATTCCAAAACCCCTCCCCCTCTCTGTCACTCACCAATCATATCACTTGCTTGAGTCCAGCACTCTAGAAAATCACAGCCATGCAAACTAAACTTTTAAAGTCACACACACACAAAACATGAAATCGTTACAACCATAATAAAAGAAATCTGGCACTTAACATACAAAGTGATATGTTTTCACTGTTTTTCAATTTAAAAGTTAATAAATTTCATATTGGCTGTTCTACTTTATTAAAGATAGTATGTAATGTAATATTTATACCATATAGCCCCAAACCAGCTAGTTGTCATTTCCCCCCAGGTTTTTTTTAGGCTGAATGGGCTTACTGAACATACTCCTTTGCCTGTTAATTTCATATAATCGTTGGAGTCATTCAGTATTTAAATTATTTCTGTTTCAAAAGGGCAGCTCAGGAATATACTGGGCTTGCCCTGCTGCTAGGGAAGTTACATACAGGAGAGATGGATAATGGCAGGTATGTTATGCGAAAGAACAAGAGGGGTTTTTTCAGCAGTGAAATATGGTGCTATTGATCTTTCAGGTGTTTACATTTTTAGTGAATGAAAAATTTAGTCTAACTTGCACCTGTTTGGAACTTTTGTAATGTGCAGGACAGTAGAGTCATGAGCAGTCCTCTGGAAGGTAATCACACGCTTCATTTGAAGGTTATACACGTATATGCCCTTTCCAACAGCAGCAAACACACACTGTAAAGAAAATTCAATAGAACCTCTTAACAAAACAGACATAACACTATTATTTTGTGTAATGGATTTCCAGCAGGGTTGTGCCATTGCTACCTTTACCAAAAGACTAGGAAGATAAGAGGTACACTGCTCCTTAAAATGTAATTATGCCACTATAATTACTTAAATATCATTTTGTGTTATGCCTCAACTCATATAAAATACAATATTCCAGCCCCTAGTGACATCCAGTAAGCCACAAACTGCAAACTCTTATTTTCCTTACAGATTCTTTTCAAGGCCTTTGAACCATTCATTTAGAAGAAGGGGAAAAACCTTTTAGTGCCTGGCAGGACATGGTTTATTCTGCAACCCTGCTGCTTATTGCACTTCAGCATTGTTTTACTAATTACTGTTCTTCTATTGGGTCTTATGATGTGTAGTATGTATATCATATCATTAAATTTAGGGTATTGTTTTAATGGCTTTATGTTGTGAGCTGCTTTGAAGGCCCCAGTGGGCAGAAAAACAGCATTAAAATGTAGGGGGAAATTACCTGTTGCAGTTCTAAGGTTAAAAACTATTGTAAAGGAAGCTGCAATTTAAGCTTCTGATTAACTTTGTTCATCGTGGAATGTGAACTATAGAAACAATCACTTAAATGGCTGTCAACTTTTCATTAACCTCAGCAACAAATGCAAAGTGAGTTTTTGCTCATGAATCCCTTTTTGGGACAATCCCACACCACAGAAAATATCTAGCTTGCTGCTACTTTCATTTCTCAAGAACAGCACACCCCATACACATGGCACCATGTTATGTATCTCATCCCATTTTATTCCATTCCCAGCCTAACAAAGATGCTGGAGCATGCTCCCCACAAGTGATGTCTCAAGTACAAGCTGAAAGCACATAGTTAGATAAGCATTTACTGACAAGGGCTATAGTTTTGTTTGGTATTAAATTTTATAATGTTTAAAGCATTTACCTTTTCATCAGATGCTAAATGCTGAATTGAAATTTTATTTTGACTGTGTGATAGTTTTATTTCTTGTTGTGGGTCCACATGAAGAGATGCATCCCAGTTGCATTCATATGCCTGCATTGTCCAGTCCAATGCATCCCAGACTATCAGCTCACCCACATGAGAGCCTGTTGCAAAAGTTAAATCTAGGAATAAAAAACCCAGATAACCCATAAATAGCAAATTCCAAATCTACAGATGTTTCTAAAAAAATAATCAAAAACAAAAAAGGCAGTGCATACATTAAACTCATTTGGCTGTATACTAGAACACTAGATATAAAATCAGGCAACAAAGAAAGAACACATGGGCAGAATTCTGCATGTCTCAATGAAATGAATCAGCAATTTCATAGCTTTTTTAAATTTCAACTGGGCATCTGAGAGATTTTCAATAGTGGAATGTGGAACTTGATCACCCTTTATAAATATATAGTTATTAAGCAAATAGCAGTGTTATAAAAGAGGAAGAAAAACGCATTACATCTGGTTCAATGAACTTACTAGAAGAGTCACAGAACATACGCTTACTGTCAGTTAGTGTCTGGCAACTGTCTCTTGAGCTAATCATAGCCTGCTGACGGGGTGCCACCAGCTTACCAACCTCAGTTACTTCTCAAATATCCCACTGCTATTTCTTCACCCTTTGCTGTTGCCTCTTCTCCCATTATACCCCCCCTCATTCTGAAGTGGGGAAATACAAGCTGTTGCTAGGCAACAGATTCACCATCTCTGTAGAAAAACAAGAAGGGCATCAATACATGCTTTCAGTCTCCTCCTGCCTTCATTCTCATTTCCAGAAATAAGACATGAAATCAGCTAAATAAAAACATACACAAAAGTTCCCAATCTATACAAATTTCAACTAGCCTACCTGCTGTCACACATCTACAGTCATGCGCCATCACAGTGACCCCAGAGAAGCAGAGGCGGTTTGTTATTGCCTTCCTCTACAGAGTCTTCTTGGTAGTCTGATCTTCCATTCAGTACCAGCTCTGCTTAGCTGCCAAAATCTGAGAAGATCAAGCTATACCATGCTGCCTTCCCTCCAAAGTGTGGGAGTACCAATTGAATATTCTAGGCAAGCACAGTAAATACTGTCTATCCCACAGCAGTTTTTTACATTGGTGGTAGAGCTAACCTGCTTAACTGGGGACATGATGGCTGTGATATTAACTTATTAAAGGAAAATGTGTTCAAATTGTGAGAATATATACAACCAAATTCATTCTGAGGAGATTTCAAAATAAAGTTTGATACAAAGCAGCTGGTCATTTTAAAAAACAAACTAAAACATTTAGCCGTATTTGGGTGGTAACAAAAGAAAACTTTGCAATTCACAATGTACACTGACAATAAAACTGGCAATAGTCCTACCGCTGATGCTGATCAATGACAGAATATTATCTTGATGGTCAAGAAGGCGTTTCACTTCAAAGACATCCCATTCAGTTCCATCTTTGGAAGTTTTCAGTCTAAGAATTACTGAGAAGAAAAAGGTAGACAAAATTTCTACAAAGGCATCATGATGTTTGTTAAGATACTGTTTTTTGTTGTTGTTCAGTCACACAGTCGAGCCCGACTATAAGCAGAAGAGATTATTGCTCTGATCTAGAGATCCATGTATGATCAGCAGTGTCTCCACTAATCACACTTGTCAACAGATAGGTGTGGAGTACTTGGTGTGATAATTGCATTTGCCCTTCCAAGATTTAAGTCATGTAGACATGGCTTGTCCGATGCTTTTTAACTTGTTCATTAATGATTTGGAGTTGGGAGTAAGCAGTGAAGTGGCTAAATTTGCGGATGACACAAAGTTGTTCAGGGTGGTGAGAACCAGGAAGGATTGTGAGGCACTCCAAAGGAATCTGTCGAGGATGGGTGAGTGGGCATCAACGTGGTAAATGGGGTTCAATGTGGCCAAGTGCAAAGTGATGAACATTGGAGCCAAAAATCCTGACTATAAATACACGTTGATGGGGTCCAAACAGAGAGATCTTGGAGTTGTAGTAAACTCACTGAAAATGTCGAGACAGTGTGCGACAGCAATAAAAAAGGCCAACGCTATGCTGGGGATTATTAGGAAGGGAATTGAAAACAAATCAGCCAGTATCATAATGCCCCTGGAGAAACAATGGCTGAGGGGTGACATGACTGAGGTTTATAAGAGTATGCATGGGACAGAGCAAGTAGAGAAAGAAGTACTTTTCTCCCTTTCTCACAATACAAGAACTCATGGGCACTCAATGAAATTGCTGAGCAGTCGGGTTAGAACAGATAAAAGAAAGTACTTCTTCACCCAAAGAGTGATTAACACATGGAATTCACTGCCACAGGAGGTGGTGGCAGCTGCAAGCATGGACGGCTTCAAGAGGGAATTAGATAAACATATGGAGCAGAGATCCATCAGTGGTATAGATAGGAACTCTGGGGCAAGTGATGCTCTGTATTCTTGGTGCTTGGGGGGGCCAACAGTGTGAGAGCTTCTAGTGTCGTGGCCGCACTGGTGGACCTCCTGATGGCACCTGGTATTTTTGGCCACTGTGTGACAGAGTGTTGGACTGGATGGGCCATTGACCTGATCCAACATTGGCTTCTCTTATGTATGCCAATGAGAACTGGGATCCCCTCATTTCCTCATAGTACTGTGGTACCTCCAAAGTTTTCACCAGCTTTCCTGAAACCTTTTCAAACCTGCTTTGCTGCAATCATTCAGGAAGATTGCAAGAAAGCCAGACTGGCACTCATGTGGATGGGAAATCAGATCTTTCAGATCCCGCCCACATTTCCCTTAGAATCATATAATCATAGAGCTGGAAGGGACTTCCAGGGATCTCCTTGCTCCAGTCCCCTGCAGGAGCCATTCCCCCCAGGATTTTTGTTTCTCTTTTCATCAGCTACTGACATATCATTGTAGCAATGTGTGTTTTATATCTATAGGGAGAGTGCAAAACTGTAGCTGTCTCTACAGTATGTGTATAATCACCATTCTGCTTTAGAAAACTAAACAATTTACACCTCTAAATTCCATAAACAAGCCAAATGAAACAATTTTATTTTTAAGCTTATACATTACGCATGTTAAGATTTTAAATCAAATATGTTTAGATTTGATAAGGAAGTATTGCATATATTTATTTTTACCCCAAAATTCATGTGTGTGTGTCCCCCAAAAACAGGGGAAATTACCCCCTCCCCCCATAGGAATCAAAAACAGAAGGGTTTTTCAGCAATAGATTCAGTTATTGTATAAAGTACAAAGTACATATAAGTGGCCTGTGACCCACAAGAATCCACCTAGAGGCTACTGAATTGTAAGGCATTTTATAAAAGAAGATATCCAATTTCTCTCCTAGTCCAAAGTTAATTGTAACCAAACTAATGACTGTAGATCCAGTTGGTCAGCCGTGTTGGTCTGAAGCAGTACAACAAATTTAGAGTCCAGTGGCACCTTTAAGACCAACAAAGGTTTATTCAAGGTATGAGCTTTCATGTGCACACACACTTTATTGAACACAATTTATCAAATACAGATATCAAATATTTGATAAAGTATGCATGCACACAAAAGCTCATACATTGAATAAACCTTTGTTGGTCTCAAAGCTGCCGTTGGACTCTAAATTTGTCAAACTAATGACTGTGAGGGATCCAAAGAGCCACCCAGCAAACCGTTTAGGTGTATTTTTTTAACAGTAAAAAAACACATCACTAAGTTTCAATAGCAGGTTACTAATGAAAAGAGCGTTTGCTAGTTGAGAAATACAAGTACAAAAATCCATTTGGTGAACAGAACTTGTCAGGCAGATATTTGGATTCTGGTCAATGGTCAGAAATACATATAAGGCAAGTTTTGCACCATTCTAAAATAGTATTCGTTAAATGTATTGTGAATAAAAATGCTAGTATTTATTTTTCAGTATTTATGGTGATACTCACTCAATTCTTTGCCAACAGCTGCCGCCACACAATTTTTTGGCAATTCAATCATTGCACTGATATCTTTATTAAAAGAGTCAAAAATATATTTTATTATGAAGTAATACTTAACACAACATCCCAACAGTGATTCATCCATAAAACTATGCAACCCCCTCACTAGCAGGCTACTCAAAGCTACCAAGAAAGCAGGACTATGAATATCAAAACTGTAAAGTAGAAAGTTACCAATTATTATAATAATTATTTTACTATTGAAAATTATAAAAATAAATAGTAGCCTATTATTAACCATGTGAAAACTTCTTGTTTGTACTTTGACTTAAAAGCCTTGTTTTGCTTTTAGGACAGCATAATATTTGTTCAACTTGTAAACTACAGATCGTTCTAGAGTTCAACTCTTTAACAACCTTTCAAACAGTGTAATCCTAAAGAGAGTTATTCCAGCATAAGCCCATTCATTTCAATAGGATTGCACTGCAAAAGTAAACCATACATTGAAAAAGTTCCCATAAAAGCAACATGTGTCTTTTTTGTAAATCAATGTTTATTTAAGATATAATACTTACATGGCTGCTTGGAAGCTTATATTTAAAGCATACTCCTTGAATACATGACTTACTTGGAAAGAGTCTAATTTAATTTCCAAAGGGATATATATTCATTTACTGATTTAAACATATTGACCTAGCTCAGTTAAGTTAATGTACAGTTACTGAAGTCTGACATATTCTAAAATTCATAGGACACAGGAGACGCAGAGTACTCTTAATTCAAAAATGATTACATTGACATTTTTAAAACAGAGGGCAGTTTAATATATGTTATCTTTCGAATTAAAGAGTCTTTGCCAAGCTGATTTTATATCATTATATAGATCCATCTTACTTGCACTTTGTCTTCACTAATGACTCATTCAAAAAAATTTTACCTGAATCAGTAAGATGACTTGTCTTACACAACAGATCTAATTTTCGGTTCCAAACACACAGATCACTCCCTCCAGATAACCATACATCCAGCCGTTGAAGAACTGTCAAACACTGTAGAACCAAATTAGATAATCAGATACATGCCCCATAACAAAGTTATTTAGGGAATTTTTTCAATGATCAACTTTACATAGTAAGACTTTCGTTCTTACGGAACACATCTTGAGTACTATTTTCAGAAATACACATAATACATACAGAACATATTATACCTCTTATGAATCATACAAAGGGATTAATTAACAGAGATACTTCATTCAGAAAGATCTCACTGAAGAGGGCACAAAGCAGACATGACCTGGCATTTTTTACAACTAAACTCTTCAAACCCTTTTGACAGCAGAAGACAGTACATAACCACCATCAGCTTATCCATGAAGAATGTTTTTAAAAGAATTATATCAAAAGAAAGCCTCCACCAATGTGAATACAAGGCACTAGCCATGATGCTTCATTTCTTGAGTTTCTCTTTCATGACTATATTAGTCAAAATCCACAATTAATCTTCTACAAATCACAGAAATTATTTCATACCGTGATATTTCAGCTTTGCCATGTGACATGAGATGAAAATATCAAAACTATCAAGGATTATTCCACTAGTACTAATAGAGCCTTCCACATAGTACTTCCTCTAAGTGGCAGAGGTGCACAGGAGGAGGCTGTGTTAAGAGACAGTTTAGAAACTACTGTCTGCTATTTAATGTGCTCACTGGAACAGCATACATACAATTAACTCTAAAACAAACAGAGTAAATAAAAAGATACACAAGCAATCACATCTAGCCCTCGAAGTAGCCTAACTGCTCTGAAAACACAGACTGCTAAAAATTATGAGGGGGAAAATCAGACCAAATGCAGTAATCTGAGCTCTCCTCAGCTATCATGTGATTCTCTTACTGGATAACACAATGTGCAAAATGAAAATCACTTCCATTTTCACTTACCTTTACAGTGGAATGAAAGCAGGACACTTTATGAATTTGCCTGCCATTGTCACAATCCCAAACCTGATTTTGTTTATTAAGGAACTGAAGGTAGCAACAACGTTACTATCATTATTGTCATTTGTATAGTTATTTATTTATTTATTTCCATTTATATTCCACCCTCCTTGCAAGCAGGCTCAGGGCAGATCACAACATAGTTTCTAAAACACATTGAATAGAACACTGATAAATAATTAAAACAGTTTAAACCACATGATTTAAAAACAGGTCACACTATCTGTTTATATATGTGCATAGTTTCCAAGCTGGTACCACTGGGACTCTGAGGTCTTCTTGATCTGGGCTGTGTAGAGATGGTGAGCTTCAGCAGGGGAGGACGGGTTTTCTGGTGGAACAGCTCCATTTTACAATCCCTATGGAACAGCTCCATTTTACAAGCCCACAGGGTCCTGATTTCAGCTGGGTGCATGTTCCACCAGACCCGGGCTGAGGCAGAAAAGGCTCTAGCCCTGGTTGAGGCTAAGCGGACGTCCCTTGGGCCACGGACGTACTAGGTCTCATGCCAATCAATAAAGCAACAAAACCAGGGCACCCACAGCCAAGGCAGAGGTTTCTACACCAAACAGCCTGATGAGGACTGAATATGCTCGAGGAGCACAGAATGTTGTGTGAAGTAGAGAGTCAGTTATAGGATCCTGGAAATCATGAGGGTAGCAGAAGGACTCCCAAATTATTCACACCACCCAAGATTTCTTGCAGGCTGACAGCTTGTTACTGTATCTGGGTGGATCGTAACAAACAATCTTGAAAGTATCAAACCAAAGCAATAATTAGAGTTTCTACATACTCAGGGGATCCCCAGGTATACAGGAATATATTGTTATGAAAATAATATTTAAAAACTGCCTAATAAGAACTGAGTGTGAACCAGGAAGCATAGAACATTGAGAGCAGTTGAGTCAATTCAAGGGGTGATCCCTTGAGTAAGGCATTGAACCAGGACTATTCACAGGCAAAGTGGAGATACAGAAATACTTGGGGGGGGGGTGTCCCCAGATATGCAAAGAAAAAATGACTCAGCAAATTAAAAGAAGAAACTTATTTTAAAAATGGGATGAGAACTCAAGACATGAAATGCTGCAGGAATGTCAGTAAAAGGGAGGGGGAACAGAACAGGATGGGGAACTTGCTCTGCTCAAATCTCTAAAAATATACAGTATCCTGGAGTGGAAGATTTCCCAATACACTATTCCTCCTGAAATTCTCACAAGTTGTACGTGTCTATATGCAGTGTTAGAACTATGTCAAAGGAGAGCTATAACTTGATGCTTTGGTCTGCTTTCTGTCACCATGATCCAAACAGTACAACAGTGCTTGCGTGTGCACCATACATCTTTCTCTAAGGGTGCACCATAAACTCTTTCTTCCAACCATACCAGGGAGGGGAGAGAGACTGCACAAGTTCTCTCAACCTACTGAACATGCAACCTAGACTTCTGCAAAAGCATTTTCATTCCCTACAGCAGCTTTCTGCACATACAGCGAAGGATAGCTGCATAAAAATCCTTTTTCCCCATGTGGACCACCTTTTCCTAGAATGGATGAAGCACAGGCATTTTTCACATCAGTTCATCACCTAAGACAGAAGTTTTTGTCAATGCAGTGCAGTCCCAAACACTGAAATTTTAACAAGTAGTCACAATTCACCCTGATGCCTAGCCCACCTCTTCATTTCTCCTGTCAACGCATAGCCTAATTATGTTCAGATTAAAGGATACAATAACAGCCCTATCTGCACCTGCTGTCAAAATCATATGACATTTTTCTTCACAAGCATAAGATTCAGGAAAAGCTACAATAGCTTTGATTTTTTGAGTATGTGCATGTAGCTCAAAAAGCTTCTCTCCAGTCTGGAAAAGAAAAAAATAATAAATTTGCTGAGCATAAACAAAATACTATAAAAGATGAATATAAATAACTGGGGCATTAAAAATAAAATTGTGTATTCCATTTCTTTTCTAGCTATTTGTTAAAACAGAAGCCAATACCTTAAAAAAAACTAATGAGCATTTCAGTCTTAATGCTGCGAAGCATATATTTATAGGTGGTTAATATAATGACATAATTTGGGCTACGTAGACTCATCATTAAAAAAATTAAAATTCTGAACCAAAACAAGTGATATTCCATCACCTTTATAAAATAAGAAAATTGTTCGGGTACACATATATTGCATTCACAGTTATGAAAAGAAGCCATGAGGTACACATGGCTCCTTACCAATTGAAACCATGCACAGCTGTCCCCTCCCCCTCGCCGAGATTTCATGTAACCTCAACTATACACTTTCAGGCCTATTTTCACAGCCACTGTCTAACTTTTTTTTTTCTACACTCAGGGTTAAATTATTTTTAGTGCACAGCAGCTTTGAGCTGCTTGAGAGACTTATGTAATTTGGTAACCCTTTATATTTGAAATATGATAGTATAATATTTCGCTATAGTAGAGAAATGCTGGATCAGACTACCAGTACATCTAGTCCAGCACCCTATTTTATAAACCGATCCACCAGGTACTCCCTGAAAGCCTAGAAACGCGGCAACAGGCATCCAGATTACGCGTCGGCTTTTTATGGCTCAGTAAATTTTATGAATTGCACTCCAATTTGGACTTTGATATTGCTTCTATGCTGGAGTAGACACATGGAAAGACTGTGACTTGTTTCTATTATGATTTATTATTGCACTTTGGCCTATTGATTTATATCATACTTGTTATGTTTATTTGATTTATATTATACTTGCTGTTATGCTTATTTTATCATTATATACTTGCTTACTTGCTTGTGCGTTATTATTTTTTGCCAGTGGTGTTCTTTTTTGTTTCCTGCATTGTACACTGGCTTCCCCCCCTCTTTTTTGGGCCACAGAAACAATGGCATTTGTCATGTCTATTATTGCCTCTAGCACTAGTATTCAGAAGGTTACCACCTCAGAACATGAAGATTCCACTTAGTATTATGGCTAATAGCAACTGATGGACCTATTCTTCTAATCCCCTTTAAAGTCAGATAAACTAGTGGCCATCACTACAACCTATAACAATTGTGCAAGTTAAGTGAAAGGTTTTGCGTGCAAAAGCACTTCATTTTTGTCCTGAATTTAATGTCATGGGATGGGGATAAGATGTTCTTTCTAATCACTCTTCCACCCCATGCATAATTTTGAAAATCTCTGTCACATATTCCCCAGCCCCTTTCTCTTTTCTCTAAACAAAAAAGCCAGAAAGTCTTTAGCCTTTCCTCACAGAGAAGCTGCTCCAACCCCTTCATCATTATGGTTCCACCTGTTCTATTACTGAAATAGCCTTTAGGGCATGCAGCCAGAATGATATAAAATATTCTAAATGCATCTGTAGCACAAATTTCAGATCATTTATGAATACATTAAATTCCAATCCCTGTGGAACCTCACTACATTGCAAAACATATCCCTTTACTTCTACTTTGCTTCTTGACATTTAAACCCATCCTCTCACTCCATGACAACTACATCTACTCCGGAGCTTGGATGAGAGGCTTTGCCAAAAGTTTTTAAAAGTATATAAAGTTTACCAGATCACACTTGTCTCAGTTCAGACTGCCAGAATAAATTGATCATCAGAATGCTAATTATGCCTCCAATTTTTCTAATGCTTATCAAACTCAAAGTATATCGTCATTTTGTTCTATTGTAATCATCTACAAATTGCAATTGTTAATTTGTTCATCTGCTTTTCATCAAATTTTTATATTACAAACAGCCAATCTTATATTTAGGTAATACACTAGCTTCAATGGAACAAATTTAGTCCCGTGGCACCTTTAAGACAAACAAAGGCTTATTTGTTCTACTGCTTCAGACCACCAGGAACTAGCTTCAATGGAGTCGCTCCAGTTTGAAGTCACCAAATCCACAGCTATATTATTTAAAATAATCATCATAAAGTTATTTTTGTGTTTAATGTAATTATCCTTTCTCTTGTGAGTGCCTTTATAACACCAAAACAGCTGTAACAGAAATTACATCCACTAAACTAAATATATTCAATATATTTCTGAATAAAAACAAACCTGAGCATTCCATAAACACACAATTCCATCATCACCTGCAGATGCAAACCTGGGGAATAACAAATCAAAAGTCAGACATACATACTTGAAGGATATCTTGCTTATATTTAAAGGCATACAAATTACTTAACAATAACTTGTGAATTCGCTTGCTGTCAAATGTAGATGGTCAGATTTTAGCAAAAATGGATCCTTTAAATAAATGTCTAAATCTTCACAAACACAAACAAGATTTTAAAAAGTCCATAGCTTTGCATATATGAAAATAAAATCCAATACAAATAAAAAACCACAAAACATTATTTAAAGAAACAGCAAACCCCGAAAAGAAAAACCACAACATGAAAAACCTATACAACTAAGACTCTTCTCTTTCATTACACTCCTTACAAATTAAAGATAAAGCAAATTACTAACAATATGCCACAGAAACGGTTTCAGTCCCGATTAACCTTCAATGAGGTTGTCTCACTATTTGTATTTTCTGCTCTAAGTACCTGAGTTAAAACATTAACCATTAATTACTAAAAAACACTAAAACATTACTCAAGTTATTTGCACTTTTATCATGGGAGTAGTCTGTGCTCAAACAAGGAAATCTGGGAGGCATGAACTCACACCATCATAGAAATGTATGTAATCAGGGAAGCATACTGTCAAGCTCCCTTGCTCACACAGACTGCTGCCATCATATCATGGAAATTCCCACTTCACATATAACATTGCTCATGCAAGTAGACTAACTATATGAACTGATAACATAGGAATTGGCCAAATTACAGGGTAATGTGTAATTTAAGAGCTGTACTATACATTGTATGGAGGAAAACGCACTTTTGCCCAAATATACTGTGAGTAGGGAGTTGCAGCAATCTCAGGTGATGCGTCTTATATGAAAAAAAGTTTGCAAACATGTCTTGACCACTTAAAATATCTTGTGTGTATATCTAAAAATATAATATATTAAGCATTAGTAAGTTCTGTGCAAATGGGCAACAGTTACTAGCTTTTCTGAGGAACCTCTTATTAAACTCAGTTCAAATCTGAACTTTTGTATTCTATTAGCAATAGCCAGCTATACTGCAGCCTGAGAGAATTCACAAAATGTTGTGAAAATAAAGTGTCTATATCTCAATGTACAAAAGTCACTTGATTTTCTTAAAAGTAATTAGAAACATGAAGCATAGGATTTCATGTGAAAGGCTCATGGCAAAACTCTCAATCCTACAGATGGATTCTTTTCACTAAGCTGGTGTTTCATGGGTCACCTGATTCTTTTCCAGTCATGATCACCATCCTCTATAACCTTGTCTGTTTCCTGCAGGAGCAACAAATGGTCAAACGAGCAACAGTGAAAGCTATTCTTAAAATGTGTTATGAATTCAGTCTACTTTAATCTGTCAAATGCTAGAGTATTACTTGCAATTTTATCTCATTCCATTTTTTGGAAGACTCTTGCTGAGGCTTAGCCTTCTTTAGTGATCTTGCAATCAATATGACCCTTTCTTCATGTTCAAAAACAAAAAAAGAAAAGAAGTGAAAAGCAGCTGTCTGTTAGGTTGATACAGGATTTATTTAGTATCTTCAGAAACCAATCTGAGAAAATTTTCCACTCACTGGTTTTAGCTGAGCCACCGAGAAAACAAGAAAATCCTTCTGCAAAATTCTCAATAAGATGATATTATCTAAAGAGCTGAAGCATGAAACCTGGCTTACAACAGTTGACAAAAATGCAATGAAAGAACTATGAAAACTAAATAAAAACCATTGCAGAAACGAAGGAACAATGCTAATTGCAGTAGAAAGAATCAAATTAGGTGGTGGGGTCCAGTTTAACCATTTGATTAATGGCTATGCATATTACCATAAATTGAATTAGAAAATCCAGCTGAACTACACTGTTCAAGGAGTATGTAATGTGTTATTGCTTATACACAAATACGCTGCTATTTCTGGAGAGGGGATGTAAAAACACACATTGATTTGAAAAGATGAACACAGATAAAACTGCCTTATACTGAAACAAAACATCAGTCAGTATTGGGTACTCAGACCAACAGCAGCTCTCCTGGGTCTCAGGTAGAGATCTTTCACATCACTTACTACCTGATCCTTTTAGCTGGAGATGCTGGGGATTGAACCTGGGATGCACGCACAGTCTACCAGTGAGACACAGTCCATCCCCTTTTGAATTTGCTTGGAAATTCTCTTCTAAACATCGCATAAACACTTTTCAAGAAATCTGACTGTAATACTAATCAAGAATAACTTTGTATCCAAGGGCTTCAGGATTCATAAAGATCAGCAGATTTTCTTGGTCAGGGGTGGGAAATCATCCTTTGCATGGAAAAATTGAGGATAGCTCTGTGATATGAACCACCAGTTTCCAAAAAGACATCACTGATGAAGATATCACTTGGATTATTTACACAACAAATTCTGTCTCTTGTGCCATATACATATGGTTCAACCATCATGTACAGCCTAGAGTACATAAAGAAAGTAAACTGCTACTCAAAGCCCTAATTAAATTAATCATAACTAAGTTTCACTGAAAGCAATTTAGTAAAGTTTTATTGCTTTCAGTGGGATTTTGTCATTACTAATTTTAGCTGGATTGGGCCAGAGTGTATGGGAAGGAAACTAAACACCATTTCTAGAGGAACACGGTTACCCTGGGTTCTGACAGGCAGAACAAGTATCCACAAGAACAAAATGAGGCACATAAGGAAAAGCAGCAGACTCACTCACAGGTAGTAAAAGCTGTGTACAACAGTAAATAAAAATTAGAATGCCAAGTATGTGGATTTTACATAAAGTTAAGAACATAACACACAAAAGTCAAAAACTGGAAGTGAAAAAAACTATTTTGCTGCACTCATCTGAATGCACCTTTTAGCCAATAACTCCAGTAAGAAATATAATGTTGGAACTGCAGAGATAATGGTGATGGTGGTGGGTTGAGAAGTATGTTGGGAGGAGACACACTGACATTCAACAAGTCACCACAGCCTGTTCCATCTGTCAGAGCCTTCTCTGCTCTGGGGATGGGGGGAGGTGTCCTCCCAAATAAATGTATAAAGCTGCCAAAGAATTCCTATGTTATTATAAATGCTTCCTCTCAATAGTTCTCCAAAAAGTCTAGAAAAGCTTGGAGAAGCCAAGTGCAATCCTAAACAAAGTTAAACCTTCTAAATCCAATTAAATCAATGGTATTAGGAAGGTATAATTCTATTTAGGAGTGCATTGTGAAATTGTCAGCAGATGTCACAGATCAAACAATTTGCAAGCTAAATCATATGGAGAATCTCCTCAACAGAGAACAGGAACCACAGACCATGCAGAGTGCCGCCCACAGTTGCTTTGAGAAATCCTCTCCCTCCCTCCAACATTCTCTGTGAAATTGTGGGGGGATCCTAGTTGGTTGCGAGCTCTGATCTCCTTCCAATTGTTCCACCCTATCATTTAACTCTCCAGTTTTCAGTGTGCATTCATAGAATTTGCACATCTATTTTAGTAAACTGAAGTAATTTGTTCTAGCCCAGCTTTTGAGGCATAATAACCCAGTCAATTGACAGAGGTGCTTCACAGGCCAAAGGGAACAGGCAGTCTGTAAAAGGTAACATACAGCACAAGCTTGAAAAGGGTATAAAACACAGGAAATGTATTTACCAAATGATTTCAGTATATCAGTTGTTACTATACTACATGAGAGTAATTATCTCAAATTAAATACAAATAAAGTCTTTGCCTCCAAATACACATGATGGTTATTGTTTACCACATTCTAATATCACTGCATTGTATGAAGTGAAGTATGATAGCTTGCAGCCAAATGCAAGCATAAAAACCACTCAAGACTGCAGTAGGAAAAAATATAGTTTCAGGAATTCATAAGTAAGTAACCTTTATTTATTATCGTATTTCTACCCTGCCCTCCCCGCGAGCGAGCTTCTGGCAAAGCATGCAATGAGCACGTTTCAATTAGAGTTCAGCTAAGAACTCTAAAATGTTTTTGTCCATCCCATCACACATGCTTACTTTATCCAAGCTACCTGTCCATTTTTCTTCAGGGTTAGGAGGAAAAAAAGAGCATCCATTTTAAAGGCCTTTACTGAAGTCATCCCTATGGTACAAAAGGAGATTATAAAAGTAATATCTTACCTGTAATCATCTATTGGCACTAGAAACCGCACAATATCATGATGACCTTTTAGCACTAGGAGCTCAGTGTAGGGATTTTGTGTTTGTTCTTCACCTAAGGTCTGCACAGATTTCTAGAAATCCATAAAGACAGAAAAACAAACCCATAAACCAGTACATTTGTTGTGTTAGGTTCTTTAAAATCAATGTTGTTCATTTTGTAGACTGTAGATAGGATAGCACCCAGCAGCTATAACTCACATCAAGTATAATAGTAGCCAATGTATTTATGAATCCCTGTTAAATGTGAACTCTATGTTTTCACACTGCAATTACGACAACTGACTGCCAGTCACCAAACATAAAGATTAGGGGTTCTCCTTGTGTTCCATCCACCACACTGCCTAATATATCCCTAACTGAGCTGACATAAATGCACTCTGGACCTAAGAGGCCATAAGCTTCCTTAATAGGCCTTCACAGCCACCATGACAACCATATGACTGTCCCAATGTAGATCATGCTGTGCTCTCTATTTAGTATACTGGTTCAGGACTAGTCATATAAATGTGTATACTGGTTCAGGACTAGTCATATAAACGTAAGAACTTATGAGAAGCCATGCTGGATCAGGTAAATTGCCAATCCAGTCCAACGCTCTGTGTTGCGCAGTGGGCAAAACTCAGGTGCCATCAGGAGATCCACCAGAAGGGCCAGAACTCCAAAAGCCCTCCCACTGTTGCCCCTCCAAGTACCAAGAATACAGAGCATCACTGTCCCAGACATAGTGTTCCATCTATACCCTGTGGCTATCCAATTCCCTCTTGAAGCTGTCTATGCTTGTAGCTGCCACCACTTCCTGCAGCAGTGAATTCCATGTGTTAATTACTCTTTGGGTGAAGAAGTACTTCCTTTTATCTGTTCTAAGCCTACTGCCCATTAATTTCATTGAGTGCTCACAAGCTCTTGTACTGTGAGAAAGGGAGAAAAGTACTTCTTTCTGTACCTTCTCTATCCCATGCATAATTCGTAAACCTCTATCATGTCACCCCTCAATCATCGTTTCTCCAAGCTAAAGAGCCCTAACTTCTTTAACCTTTCTTCATAGGGAAGGTGTTCCATCCTCTTAATAATTTTAGTTGTCCTTAATAATTTTAGTTGCTCTTTAGTTGCCATTGCCTGGTACTGGAAGAGTTTAATCCATTGCTGATTAACGTAATTCCTATAAGAGCTCTCCCACTGGTTACAGCTCATTTTGCTCTTTGGTATAATCAGAAGCAGCAGAACAAAAAAAGGGGGGAAGAAGGTTAGAGCACAGGTAAAGAAAAGTTCAGACCAAATTTGGATTCTGTAATCTACTCCATGGATATGATGATAAAGAATTGTGCTTTTCTATCTCCATTTTGTTTGCTTAAATCTTTATCTGTGATGTCCTCAATCTTGTCTCACCACTTTTGTTATGGCACATTTCATTTGTTGTTGCCTGGGAATCTAAAGAAGTCCTTGGAGAAGTGTTACTACCCCTTCTTGGCTGATTCTAACTAGCAGAGAGAGACTGGTTTAAGGCCTTCAAAGCTGCTGTTAGCACCTCTTTGAACAAAGAAGTGGTCCCTGAGCCTTTAAAATAGGCCATGGTATACACATTGCAAAAAACAAAAACAAAAACAAACCCTCCTCCCTGAACCCTCTGTACCCAGGAAACTGCCAGCTAATTTTGAATATAACTTCTAGGATAAAGGACTAGTGCCAGAGGAGTGGGATGGCTCCAAGTTCTTTCGGAAAAGACTGGTTTTCTGGACCCATTCCAATCCAGTGTTGAGTCTTGATGGGGGATATATACTGTACCAGCTGCACTGATCTATGCAAAAAGATAGCCAATATATGTCCTTGTTTTGTTTTTCCTGGACCCTTCAAATATTTTCAATACCATCAACCCAGCACTGTATCCTTTTGGGTCACTTGTCATAGCTGGCAACAGACTTAGCAGCAGCTCCATAGGAAGATCTCCCCCTCCCCAAAGATGCTCACAAACAGCCAGTCTTCTCCATGTTGTTATCAAGTAAAATTCCACGAAGTTCTACCCTGTTGCCTGTGCTTCCCCTACATCTATATAAAGCCAGAACAAAAGTACAATATTATAAAAACTTTCTTGAGAGTAAACTCCATTGAATACATCGGTTCTGAGTACACACGCAGGCAGGATTGGCATAGGAGATACATACGCACACACCATAGGGCTTTAGTGCGTCACATCACCTCATCTGACTGGAGTCTCGGTTTCACTATAGAAGCAGCAGCTCCAAAATTAAAAACAAAGTTCCTCTTTTGTTAAAACAAACAAACACAACTTGATAGTTGCTCAGGTTAACCGTACCTGCCCTGCGTGTATTTATCATTATGTCAAACCATAACCCAGCAGGGCTGGCGTGTAGAGGCGCATCAGGCCATGCCAAAGCCGTGCCTGCCTTGCAAAGATCTCGCAATACGAAACACGGCTACCAAACCCTGGCCACTTCAGCTGCCTCATGACGGAAGCGGCGCTTTCGTCACCCAGAAAACAGATCTCTCTCCCCGCGAATTGGTGCTGAATAGCGGGCGCGGGCGAGCAGCCCCACACACCAACACGACCGAAAACGCCCATCGCTGAGCTTTTTACCTCGGCCAATCCTTGCGGCTCACGCCCCCCTCCTACCAGCCACCGCAACATCGCAAGAGGCGGAGTCCACACGACCGGGACGGGGAGTCCACGACTCGCGTTGAAAGGTTAGCCTAGCCCTAGACCCTTCCCACATAGTCAGCTGACACTCGAAAACCATCCCCGCCGTTACCGTGGGAAGTGCGCATGCTCACTGCGGTGCAAGGCCGGCTGACTGGCAGAGCTGTTCGAAAGAGACTAGAGCGAGCCCAGGAAGAGCCTCCTCGACTAATCGATCACCGAATCTTCTGAATAGCAGAAACAACGAGGCTTCTCACAGTGAATTCAGGGACTGACCCGAATCTTCTGAATAGCAGAAACAACGACGCTTCTCACAGTGAATTCAGGGACTGGGCGTCTGTGGACGCTGCCTCGTTCTCCCTTTTGAGCTAGACAGAAAGACACGAGTGCAGAGTACATCGATTTGCCTCATCGCATACAGTCGCTCAACGTTTATAGTTAGTTTTTTCCCTCTCTTCATTTGACCTAAAGCACAGTTGGTCCAGTTAGCGTTGCTGTGTTTTATATTCACCGTAGGTGCGTGCCATCATCGCAAGTCCACTCTAGGAAAAGTTTCTGCTGCCGATTTGCTGCATGTCTAAACACGGTGTGAAGGACCCGGGCATGATGTCCAGCTTCCTGAGGTGAAGAAGCTTATGTAGTGCCTCTGGACTGTAATACAAATCTATTTACTTGTGTACGGGTATTTAGTAAAATATACCCCGCTTTTCCTCTTGGTTCAAGGTGGCTTACCAATAATGATTAAAACATTGTAGATTAAAAAAAAACAAAAAACTTTGCAAATAGTCCTCTTCCCCAATATGTTAGAGCAAGATCAACCAAAAGCTACTGAGTTGCAGAAGGGCCCTGAAATAGATAAGAAGTAGGTAGCGACAGTGGTCCCTAGCAAAACCCCAAAACAAGCCCCACAACACCTTTTATTAAGACCAACCAGAACACACCACACATTGATTGTGACTGTTTTCCCATTCACTTATCTCTCTAGAGCTGCAGTACATGATCTCTGTCATTCTCTTCCTTTTCTCTTTGTGCCTCATAGCTCTTCTTCACATGGTGACCATGGGTGTTGTGTGTTTTCTAGCACCTCATTTCTGCCCTGCTTCCTGATTTCTTTACCCCTTTTCTAGATTCCTTCTTTGCCTTCCTTTTCCCTATCCACACTCCCTCCTTTTCTACTCTTGTCAGCTTTCACATTTCTTTTCTTTCTGTGCCCTCTTTCTCTCTTGAGTCGCTCTGTCCTTCACCCCTACCTTGTGCTACTTCTCCAGTCCTCTACAAGAAGTGCTAAAGATGACAGGTGGACAGAGACTTGAGCCATGGGATTGATAAAGGTGTGCTGTTTAGGGTCGCTTTGAGGATATCCAAAATGGCCCCAAACTCGATGGTATTAACCAGCAATTGACTGTGATGAATACAAACTTTGCGGCACAGCAGCTTCAGCTGAACAAGACGGAGAAAAAAGTGGAGCAGGCAAACGAGAAAATTAAAGAGATTGACACCAGAAGAAGTTGAAGAAAAGGATGGGAGAGGTGGAAATGAAGCAGAATTGCCAAGAGAATTGAATCTTGCAGCTTCAGA